AAAACACTCACCCTGCTCTTACGCGATAAAAATATCAAACACTACCTCTTCAAGAGGTATTACAAAACACTCACCCTGCTCTTACGCGATAAAAATATCAAACACTACCTCTTCAAGAGGTATTACAACGTAAACTATTAAAATCACTGGCAGGGTCTTCTATTTTTAAAAATCATATATTGTAAAAGCAGCTGTGTATGCTTATCAAATACTTGTTGACTCCAGTSCGCTGCTGGAGCAAAAAATTGCAAAGACGTAAAACCTTAAACAGAATATAGTGAATATAGSTGGGTTGGAGCTTAGTACTAATAATGTCATTCAGACATAGTYTAATCCTAACACCATTGGTSAACTCAGTGCAATCCTGATGCGGCAGCTCCAATATGACAACTAGTCAACACCGGTTCAAGAGCGATTAGTGAGGAAGCATTGATAATTCSTTGYGTTGAAGGCTACCTCAGGATACYTTACAAGACCTTCATCCTAACAAAAGTWAATTAAACATGATTAAAGGAAGATTTTTGTCAAAAAGTGTACGGAACAGACAGCTTTTCCGTAAATGTCGTGAATCAGAATCAAACCACWAAAATTATATGTCTTTATCATCATCATCATCATCACCGTCATTACCTTCAACTACAAGCTTGATGAGRGCCTGGTCRTGRCCGACRTGATTAGCCGCGCTGCATTTGTATACCCCAGCATCTTGAAACGTCACGTGACTTATAGCCAATGACATCACAGCACGCTCAATCTTGTACTGATTTTGAAGGATCACAGAAAACGTTTCTTCTGTCTTGAGTCGTTTCGAGGTTTGAATCATTCTGCCATGGAAGTCCCAGGAGAATGCYGTGTACTTCTCTGGTGTGTTATTTACTGTACAAGCGAGAAAAGCATTGCTGCCATATTTAACTGTTGTTGTTCGTGTGAGCGGAACGGCGCGAGGTGGTCTCTGAACAGTACGTACTACGAACAAAAAAAGCCAATAATTAGTGTTGTAAATGTTTTCAAACGTTGCTGCTTAATTTCTCCTGACATACATTTTGGTAAAAATATCGATTTCTCTAGATGAAAATGTTTGTTTATTAAATTTTTTTTCTACCTGAAAAAGAAAAGAACCAACCAACGGACAGACAGGCATATTAGTCCACTGTAGTGTTTTATCTAGCTTTTGACTCGCTGGTCATGAGGGTATCAGCACATTTCACAAATAATGTTAAATTTCATTTACTCACATAATACAGACACCACAGCATGATGGGTATCCTGACCCAAGGCATTCACAGCACGRCAYACATAAACATCGTCATGCGCATTGGATGCTTTCTGGATCACCAAATCAAGTCCGTCACYTGATTTCTGTAATGTAATTGACTGAGGCATTGTGGTTTCAWGTAASACCTTATTACGTTTTGACCATGTTAGAGAGGGCTTTGGGCTTCCTGTGGACTTACAGGGAACGACCAGCCGATCATCAACAAAGACCTCATAAAAATGGACACGCGTTGTGATTCTTGGGAAATCTGGAAATATATATCAACATATAATGAAATTTGAGACTCTTTAAAGAAATTCACAGCCGATGATTCAATCTACGCTGAATCATTTTGACCAAAGACTAGTTTTTTCTACCACACGATGAATAAACCGCGGATACCCCTCATTCTCCCAAACGACCCTTTGGTATTCCTGTATAAATTATGGGGTAGGCCATAGCTGTACCTGTTAGTTTCACTTCACAAGAAACGTCTCCCATTTTAGTTTTTGCTTCGCATTGCAAAATTCCTGAATTTGATTTGTCACTTAACAACAAACCAAGCCAGTTTACTGGTCTTTGAGTTTTCTTTACAATAGTACCATTGATTTTCCAGGAAATCATAGAAGCACCACCATGTGTAATGCTGCAGTTGAAGTGCAGTGATTTTCGCCAGTTGAAAGTTGGAGAATTGCTGCGAGAAATGTGGCATCGAGGTSCTTTAGTGGGTAAAGATGCTGAAAAAGCAAAAAAAATGTTTTATCAAGTTGAAAATAACTGTGATGTTTTATTAAAATAATGATGATGAGTCTTATTCAATAATTATTGTAGTCCATWATAAGAATGATTATAATTAATAAGTACTTTATGATAACATCAAATAGCCCTAGGCGTGCCAATTAAAAAAACGAGTGCTGAGCTATCATACACATCGGCAACATATATGGAGCCGCTTTGCCCACACACTGCATACTTTGACAATTTTTTGGCACCCAAACYCTTAGAAAACACCGTCAACACAATCCACTCAATAGAAATATGTCTTTTTCGATTATCAATAGGATATAACCCACAGCGTGACAGCTAAAACAATGTAGACAAATGCATTTCGTAGCTGAATTTCCGTAAAAAGAGTACGAGTCAATGCGTGAAGAAAAATTKATAATGCTCGCAGATACAAAGCAGAGCATATTCTCATATTAAAGTACTTTTGATTTACTTTTTAAGCCTTTTGCAGTTGTATCTGATTTGAGTTAAAGTTGATAAAAAAACCCTCATTTCTTCAGTCGCGCGCATTTCCATCTATAATTCTTGTGATTTAGTGCATGCGATTATTTACCGTTTCTGTGTTTGAAGGATACAATGAATTATAATTAAACTCAAAAACAGGACATCCTTTACCTGCACTTGTCAAAACCAGAAGTAAACAGCCAAAGATCTTCACGTTGCACAGTGCCATCGCGATTTTGCATCCAAAACTCATCGTTTCTGAAAGTTCTGCTTATCTGCAGCAGCGAGTGCCAGTTGTGGACCAAGTTACGTGCCCTCAGCGAGTAATACCTATGGTTTACCGTCCTGCACGTTCTACAGTACGAGGGCGTTAAAAGGTCTTTTACTAGACATCGTAGTTACAAAGCCGTCAAATTTCTTCCAATTTTTTTTAGATATAAAACACCATCCCTGAAAGATAAGCAGCAAACATTTGCACTCAGTTTAATCATTTTAATCGTTTGAATGGACAAATTTCTCATCAGTATCCTGTTCACCCTATAGATCTTCATTTATCTACTTCCCAGTTATGTTTGCTATATGGATTTAATTTCTTTTTATTGATCTTATTATTTGTTTTTCAAGTGAGCCAGTAAAAAGAGTCTTTGTATTCTAGTTTCTAGAATGGGTGGTCTCACCTTCATAACAAACAAGAATGCCAATCGGAAGTTCACATGTATTTGAATTGCGCCCACCTTCCGTCAATTTCGTCTCGTCTTGCCCACATTTTGCATGTTAACCGACATATGTTTGCTTYCAAGTGCCCTTGACTGTAAGTGGGCGCAAATGGTCTTCTTTGACAATTGTTTGTGCTTGAGCATTTGTTATTGATGTGTAAATTTGACACTGGGATTTTAGCAGAAAAGACCTTTAAGCACAAGGTTACGTCATTAGCTCAGCTGGATACTCAGAAGATTATACTAGTATGTCCTGACTAATTATGATGTGAGTTTGACTTCGTCTCTTTCTCAGGCAACTCTTTTTTCCTCCTTTGCTTCCTTTGTAATCGCTAGGGACAAGTGACACCTCCCCTCTCTCGCCCCCATTCTCCCTCTTCTAACTCCCAAAAAAGACAGGAAGCCCATGATTGTTAGTAATACCTACGGATTAGTAGCCTGAGTATCAGGCTCTCGAGAGGGAAAAACGGAAGGAGAAGGAAAAATTCCCTTTTACACTCCTCTCCTCCCCAGGCCCCCTCGAAGGCCTGATACTCAGGTTAACTGTGACTGTTCTGAACGTCTTCCGTTAAGGACACCTGTCAATCAAATTATTTTTGACGGTAATTTCTTTTTCACATCAACAGCAAACGTCATCAGAAATGTTGGAAATGTTTGCTGGTGTGGTCAAACATASGTCGCCCGATTGTCGTTTTTGAATTAGTTATATAACATGTATCACTTGTAACATCCTTGGAATCAAAGTTTCTCAAAACTAAATAGTAAATGATTAGTCCAAATAAGGAAATACAACACAAATATCTTCTAAACTTCATAAATCCTTATAAGTAGAATATTCATAAGAAGCCAGTTCAAAGTTAACTAGAGAAAAATAAAAGAGTTCATTATTGCGGTTTTACGTCTTTTTCAACAGCCAGGACAGCCTTCCCAGGCCTTTTCTACTCATATAATATATTCTTTCAATAATTGCAAACTTCTGTTATCCTATTGTCTTTTTACTGCACKAGCGTGGTACAGCTTAGGATGTAAGGTCAAGCCACTTTCTCCTTCCAGTGATGGCAGCCCACACCCACTTGGATTCTCAAACTTGAACTTCTGCAATAGTCGACATGCAAAGAAACATGAACAGCTCCGATCGGGCCAGCACCTCCCCTACGCATACACCATATCAGGAGGACGATCTKCAAATTGCTTAGGATGTCTAACGAGGGCTTCTTGATCATATCCCCGCTCACCACCACCATCATTTTGTGTCCTGAAAACAATCGGCAAATCTTGCCATACTTCTCTCCAAGCTTCGTCAGTGCGAGATGCAGATCTTTTTCAAAAAGCATCAAATTGCCGATCACTGGCCATGGTATTGGGCCTGGGCCTGGAGGTTGGTTGTGGCCTCGAAACTCGAAGAAGAAATGATAAATCAACGCAAAGAATAAAAACAAGAGCAGCGAGCTCGATGTGCATTGTGGAAGTAAATTAATGCTATGTTAAATGAAGAGGTCAAGTTTTAGCTTTGCTTGMAGTCTGTCGCCATAGTAACCATCGATCAATATTCACATTATGTCTGTTTGTAACTCATTACATTTCAAGTTCCGGTTTGTGTTATCTTTCTCTCTGAACATCTCGTCTTAAATTGCACAAAAGGTCAGAAATAGTGAAAGCTGCATAGCAACCGTGTGCAATGTCGTCACTAGAAATAACAAAAGATTTGAACTCTGATTGGGCTACCTGTGGAGAGACAGCATTACATTGTTCAGCGGTAGTTGCCAAAAGCGCGGGAACAAGATGTGATGTGTTTTGTGTCCCCTGAAATATTTGTCCTGAATTTGTACAATAATTCACAGAAATGGTGCAAATTCTAATGCGGCTGTAAGTCAATATTCATTGTTTATTTAGTGTGTTGTATAATTTTACTTTGCTATTCATATTCCCCAAGTTATCAGCCCATTTGTTGGCGAGATTTCTTCGACAGGGCTGATGGGTGAATATCTAGTTTATTTGTCAATCATACAGCATTGTTGTATGAAATAACGTTCATATGCACTATAAATAATAATTTCCCGCAACAATKTTTATGCTGTGCAAGTAATAAAGAATAAACTGACCATTGTTATGATGTGCACGTATTTSTAGGGATCCCTGTGTTGAAGACTGGACTATCATTGAACTTCAAGGGGCCCTGGAAACTAGAGAAGGTGTCAGTCTTGAMGGAAAGCATGTTGGTGATTTACATTTTGACAATATGGTAATTGATGAGATGGGGTTTTTGTAATKGCGATATTTGGGAGGGAGGGGTGAGGTGGAAGCAGAATCATTTTTATCACTACATGATTCTTGGCAAAATAATTTTTGTCAATTATTTATTATTTGTTTTAAACTTTTTGATTACTAATACTCTGAGTTAGGAATTCTCAAAATTCAAACTATGATAATTTCATGATTCATTCAAATATTAAACTCGTAATTCTTCCATGAATAAAGGATTTCTGCTTTGTCGATTTTCAACCCCGGTTCTCTCCTGAGTATGTTTTCCTTGAAGTTCCAGTTGAGCATAGTCATGCCTTATACCCTACTGAACTTGTGAATTTGTAGTTCAGATTTAACTTGTTATTCAGCTGTGAGAATAGTGAAAAAATTATGCTGACACTTCATTGCTTATATATTGTATTTCATTCACAATTTCATTCAGTATTTTATATTTCATTCAGTATTTTATATTTCATTCAGTATTTTATATTTCATTCAGTATTTTATATTTCATTCAGAATTTTATATTTCATTCAGTATTTTATATTACATCCTCCAGGGTGTTCCCCAGTTTGTGATTGGCCATCATCTTTTATCAGGAAAAGTAGTCAACCTTGACAAACCTTATGCAGTCATGAAGAAAAAAACTATTTGTGAACCAATGGAAAATGACATGGGAAAGAAAGAGACTGAATATGATATTGTTGCTCTTGTGAAAAGGAAAATTGTCTTCAAAAACAGACCAAAACCTATCATCATAAAGACAGAGCCAATAAGGAACTAGAATCTTTACACAGTCCATTGCTGCACCTTTTAAAAGCACTGTATAATGTCTTCACAAAACTTTCCATTTGTAGATCTATTACAAMCTCAGTCATGAATGAAATCTTGTTTTCTTATTTAATGAGATAACACGCTAAAAGTTTGGCTTTCCTTTGAAATGTATGCTTGCTAAAATCGCTCCTATTAATTTTCAAATAGAATTAGGATCAAGTTTGTACTTACCATTTGAACTCACACAAAAATAAATCTCCCATGTATAGAAATTGTATGTTCTACTCCTCTTGAAATTACATTCAAAATATTGATAATATTTGATATTATTTCAGGCATTTTGAGTACATACTTTAGTTTTTATATTAAATTTTCTTTATATACTAAAATAGTTTTCTTTAAACATCTGAAAAACTGTCATTTGTAGGAGCATTTTTCAAATTATGTATTTTCTTGTTATTTTTGGAAGGAGCTGTTCTATGTGTTATAGCAAGCTTTGGATTTGTTGATGTGATTCTTTGTTGGTGACATTTAAGGCAGTATAGTCTATTATTGATGGGAAAGCACTGTCTTCCTTGCTCATTTGACAATTGAATACCACAATCCTGAATAAAATATAAGTAATTTGATTTAATTCCCATYCAAAATGTCACTAGGAATTTTGAAAAACTTCAATCATTTACCTCRCATTTAAAACATCCAGTATGATACTGTTTGTTATTGCACACAACACGAATTATTTCATCAGATTGCTAGAAGAAAAAGTGTGATGAATAAGTCATGTATGTTGTAAAGGCAATACCAACCCTATTCCTCTATGTTTAAAACATTAGAAACTATCACCTTATCCTCCCCAAAAACCAMAAGCAGAACCTGGACTTTGTATAGATTTGATTTCCTAACYACAATYGATRGATTGACTGMCAAAAAYTTGCTTACCTGTTGTGGAATGATAGGGTCACTACATCTATCGCATCTTGGGGAATACTTCCTTAAAAAAAGTTAAATATAGCAAYAGYTTTAGGTCAGTTSAAAGTAGASCATCTATAGCAACRACAAGGTTCGGCGCTGCMATGGGGTAATTGTAAAAGAAGGAAGAACAGCTGAGAGACATGGTGGAAGGACAGAATTTTGTAGTGGCAGCTTTGGAGGAAAYGAGAGGAAATTGAACCTCGCCTCAAAGTCCTTACTGAAGGACTTCAGCCCGGGKRGGACTCCAGAGTAAAAGTACCGGGGATGCTCATCGGATGTTTTAGGGGGAAAAGTTCATGATTGTAAATCTTTTAGGGTGCCAATTTGGAGTTTCTGGAAATTTGCATTTCTGCAATCTCTTAGGGTGTTGGAAAAGAAGAAAAAGAGCGCATCGATATTGATTTTCCTTGCGTTTTGTTTTGACACTAAATATTTTATCATTGGAACTGATGTAACAATATTTGTAATGCAATCTCTTAGGGGTTAAAAATCAGTCAGCCACGCCCTTCTTTCAAGACTTCCTGGGACTTAAGAGGAAAAGAAKTTTTTCGAGAGCGTTTTGTTGATTTAAAGTTGTCATGACGTTTGATAACAGAACCAAAGTGAATTCGTTCCCAGTCCTTCCATCTGGATTCATTACCTGTGATAATCTGGTAAACAGAATACATTGTTATTTTCATCGATGGTAAATGGAACTCCCTCAAGGACAACGAAACACTCACAACAGTAAAAACACTTGGGATGGTAGTTGCGTCCTAGTGTTTCTAATATCTAGAACAACAGGAAAATTAGTTTCCTAGCGGTTTCGCGTATGGTATTAAGGAGCTGTGAGCACAGATTTAGAGAAAAACTCCAGTTCTTTGGCGTGAGTGTAAAAACGTGAGGGTACTTGTACCTTGTCGCCTATGACTTTGCCGCAGACATAACAAGTCTTACAAGGTCGATTTACTTCAATTTCCTTTAAAAAAATCAATTGCCTGAATTAATTTAGCCTATCTTATGATCGAGGATAAACTCAACAATTCAACTGAGTGTAGCTAACGTCTAACTCCAACGTTCCCGCCATACCTTGAAATCGTGCTTGCAGTAAATCTTATTTTGTACTTGATAAAACTGTTGACCTTTCAATTCTTTCCCTAAAGAACATACCACATRAGCCATTAATTCCCAGTGTTTATTTTTAAGTTATTATGAGGTTGGTGTTTCCCTGTCGTTGTAGATGAATTGCCAGGAAAATGCCAGGAAGTACTTTTATAATGACCATTGATTGATATGGTGTTGACTTACCACAAATACAGCAGTAAAAGCATCGTGCATGGTATATTCTACCCAGTGCTTGACATGCKGATTCACATCCTCTAATCGTACAATGACACTTGTGACACGTGCCTGGACAAATATCAAAAAGAATCACAACTGTAGAATTTATGAATATTTTCCATTTGTTTGTGCGTTTTCTTCTCGTTGATCTTAACTATTTCATTCTGCAATATTACTAATTCATAGCCAGTTTGATCTATTTTTACAAAGTTTGGTGTTTTTGCTACTATTTTTTCCTTCAATTCATATTAATRTGATACTTTAGGTAACATTTTGGTGTTTTTTTGTTTTTGTTTTATATTGATTTCATATTTCATCAACTCTTTTTGAATGYAGCAAATCACTAAACATCACCGACCATTATACTGTCTGGCTTGGTCCAACGTTTCAAAAGTTTTTCAATTTACATGATCAGAAAGTTGCCATTAATATAGTTTCTTCTACTTCTTCTATYGTCCGACATCCCCGGCGCGCTATAACGAGTTCGCTTGCCTTATCAACTGCTTTTTGACCGTGCGGTGCGCAAATGAACAAACCAGAGCGTGTGCGCAAGAACAAATCTAAGTATGTGTCTACAATAAAACGCGATCTACACCATGATTGAGATGGTGATACAAGTAATGAAACAATAACAATGATCATCGATCAATTTTCACTTTTGAATTTTGAATTTTTTTAACACCTGTTATTATTGATTATTATATTTAATTGTAATATTATATAATTGTACTTCATGTGAATTATGACATGATTTAAACAGCGTGGCAGTAGTCAATGAATAACGTTAGCMCTCAAAATCAGCAAAGATTCAGACGTTGTATTTTGCACGATCAACTCTATCGAAACTATATAACATAACGACTGCAATTGTTACAAAACATCTTTATTAATAACGTTAATATATTTTAAAATTTAGTTAGATTACCTGTGAAGTCGCACGTAAATCTGCTGTGTCTCTCCATAAAGAGCCAGTAAAAAGAACTTGCGCATTCAGGTTCCTTATAGTGGAACCCTGTAAAGAAAGTCCCAAAAGAGTTAGCTCTTACCTGTCCAATGTGACACAGTGAGCTTTAATCGCCTCACAACCATTCCAAGTATACAAGATGAGCAATCATTATATAAAAAGACTCATTATTGTGTTTAGTGTTTCTTAACATAAAGACAAAACTTCTCTGTAAGCTGCTAAAGACCTTGAAWGATGAACTTGATGCCTAGGCCTCGCTTAATTACGACATTCCGCCGTTCAAATGGACCATGTACTGCGAAGCAGACGTGTGTTTGAAAGCTCGACAGTTTCTGATAAAACGTGTATCCCTAGATATTTTCTGATAATATTTACGGTCGGATGTATGCTGCACCAACACTATTATCTATAGCAATTTTTTCTGAATTTGTTAGTTAAGTGTTTGATATGTATTGTGTTCGAATGACACGACTCAAAGACCTTATCATAGGCATAAGAAAGCGACATGTCAGTAAGAATGGTAGGAATGCTATTTAAAATACCCAGGTCAAAGACCAATSGCTGTTAACATGCTTTAGATATATGAAATCCTATCATTTTCTTTTGTTGGTTTGTGAATCGAGTTCATGAACGAAGGTCATGGTGAAGATAAAAGGTAGAGTCGTTAAAATATAATGATTATTAATCAATTAAGAAAAGGTGGGAAAGTGGCATCAGTTTTTTACTGATCATCAAAGCAAAATTACCTAATTAACAGTGGGGGGCTTAAAAATGTCCTGCAGGTGCCAATTAACCAACCACCACAATTTTTTAGATCTCTAATAAGTTATAACTAGACCCTGTATGCAGGGTTGACACGTACCCTTTRTTGTGCATGATGTTGTGAGATCATTAGTAAATGAGGCCTTATTAAAACCTTACTGATACAGAATAAAGAAATGATTTGATCTATCGAGCCTTGCCAAGATATATGTGATTTTTGCGATAAGCTTATATGTGGTGGCTCTTAAAATTTCAGCTGTAACTGCCTTTGTGATTCTGCAGTATAATTTTAAGGTCAGATATACCCGGAGATATATAACTAGGCATGATTTGGTTACAACGTGACGCTTTATTAACTTTTGATATGATAGTAACACAATATTTTTGCACATCTACATTAAAACTCGACATATCTATTGCAGATGTTTGAATAGCCATGGAATTAATAAGCATTTTCTAAAGAGTTGTATTGATATTCAATCATTGGAACCCAATCACTATATCGTTGCCGTTGCTTCACGAGTAGTAAGCGTGTTGATCTCTGTAGTGAGATCTCCTCGTCATCACAATTCAACATACCCTTGGTCCGAACACCCAGACAAGTAATGAGTTCCAGATTTTGGTCGTAAACCTTCATGTTCTGTTCCATATTCGTTAGTAGAGACAATATTCATCAAAATGGCGGATAAAACATTGTGCAGAACGAGTTGGAAATGTTGCGAACGGGATTATCGACAGGCTATAGCGTTCGGAATACACAACGTAATGTGATTGGNAACAAAGGAGTGCATCACGTTATCCATCATTTACCAAATAATCTAACCTATTTAAACCTGTCTTTTAATCGGGTATCTGCAGAAGTTAGTGAGAGCAGTAAGCAATTTTGTCGTGATAATCATCCAGGACTTCGGTTAGAGATATAGATAATTCAATGTCAGAAATGTGGGTTTGTACTGACTGACAAATAATTCAACTCAACAAATTCATATGGGAACTGTTTATTAAAAACGTAATCTGCTGTCTACAATAACTTCAAGCGGTAATTACATGGGCTTCCGAAGGAAGTCCATGTCATAAATTACAAACAAAAGTAGGCCAGTACTTCATGTACCACAAAATGAATAGGCACCATCAGTAATATGTAGATTGCTGTMTTAGGTAGGATCTTACATGAAGTACTAGCCTTTCATTGGTCATGATTTTTTGTTAGGCTTCAAATTGCACAGTAATTCATGTACTACCCATGAATTGGCTCATAGCTAATATCTACATAGGATCTTATGTAGAGTCTTATAGTTAGGTGTTACATGAAGTATTAACCCGTCCTTGATCGTCTTGACTCGTGGAGAGCGAAGGCAAAAGTTATTCGATGGAAAAAATCAAGCTACGAACGCTGTCCTTACGTACAAACGCACAAGCCATTCGTGGTAGGCCTACACTAAAAGATTCTCAGCGTAATTTTCGGAACGGGCCGGTCAACGAATCTATTTTAGCATGAATTGATAGCGTTGATCTTATTTAAGCTTACTAGTTCTTACGAGATAGCAAATTCAAATGAGCCAAATACGACTCAAACCTACAATGTAACTAGAAAACTACAATACGTGACACGGCAACTAACTCTATGATTGCTGAGATGAAGAAATCAAAGGCACCTGAAACCAACTATCYYAATAAACGAACGACTAATTCAACRAAGCCGCCATTTTATTCTCGCGAAGGAGTCGACATTGGTTCGATTTCTTAATTCATTTCTTATAAGTAAGTCTTTGGATAACTATATTTATTTTAATAGTTGTCTGTACTAAATATAGAGAGTCATTTAGCAAGGTTTTATTATAGTTTTTGTTGTAATAATCTTTCAACTGATTGCTATATTGAGTTTAACATTAAGATTACTCAGGGTTCGTACAGTCTTGAATTTAAGTCCTTGATTTTGGAGCTAGGTCCTTGAAAAGTCCTTAAATGCAAATTTTCCTTGAAAAGTCCTTGAATTTGGAGGAAAGGTCCTTGAAAATGATAATTTAGYCCTTGAATCAGTCTTGGTTGTTGTGAAGAAATGTTTTAGAGATCAATTTTGCCAAGCTTTGAAGCAAATTGATAATATTTCGATCCTTTTGGCAATGTCTGTTGTACTATTGTGCAATACGGCGGTAAAGGAATTAAAATAGAGATGGAGAAAAATATGTTCCAAGAGATAAAGTTCTTATACAAAGTTGACTACAATGTTTTAATTGTTCTGTTGGTAAGACACAGGACTAGTAAGTTTATTAACTGTATCTTTCTCTTTGTAATTGGTGTCCTTGAAAATTGAAAATTAATCCTTAAAAAGTCCTTGAAAAGTCCTTGAATTTTATATGTAAAAATCTGTACGAACCCTGTTACTATAATTAAGCTGAAGGATTGCAATGACAGAAATATTGTAACTACCTCTGAGATGTAAGTCATGTACAAGATTGTTCATATTAATAAGAAGTACATTGTATACAATGACAAACAAACTACCTCTGAAAATTAAGTCATGTAAAAACCTATTATCGCATTGATAATAATTATAATTTATTTCATTTTTTTATTTTATCAGTTAAACTTCATATTTCACCCTTTTTTAATTTTACTAGTCAAGCTTTTGACCCAACTGTGTCATCACAAAATGAATAATCTAAATAACATTCTTACATTTGAAAAAAGAATGCACAAGCAAACTTTTGTTATTAATTTTTAACAAGATAAACATCCAAACAAGCTACATAAATCACATTTGATTTCATAGTTTGAAAACTGATTATGTTTTTAATATTGTTTTATTTTAGAGTTTTAAAACTAAATATTTTAGAGTTTTCAAATTCTAAATACTAACAAATAGCGGCTGTTTAGAGACAATTTGTCAGTATCAATGAACCAAAACACAATGAAGATGAACCCACATAAGACTGTTTTTAATTCATCTATATTGTGTTCTGGTTCATTGACAYTATTGATAATAGCCACTATTTGAATTGTAAGTATTTAGTTTGATCTTATTTCATGGTTTATCTGCATTTGCTCTACTGCATTGATGAAAAGTTTAAAACATGGTTCATGGTCTATTTTGATAATTTTAATGAAGTTGTTTGTTAAATATAATTCTGTTCAATAACTATACTTTGTTCTTTACTTGACAAATATTACAGTGCTTTTCATGAACATGAAATCTCCCACTTGAATACCACAAATTATAAAACTTATTAATAATGCATAAGCTATTGCTCCAATAAGGGCTGACCATTTAATCAGGTGATTGACCTTGTAAATCTGATACAACCACTAGTGTTGTATCAGATTTACAACACGGTCGTCACCATTGAGACAACCCAACACTAGCAAAGGTCTCAGTTTTAGTGTCGCATCATAGACCTTCACTAGGTTTTGAAGCAATCAAAGACGGATAACAGAACTCGCTTATGCAACAGATGGCTTGCTTTCCATGTGGGATGGATAATTATTCAAAATGTTCTGTGTTGCAGTAAATTTAGGGACTGAACTCAGCAGTTACCTTATTTGTCATTTTTCGTCATTTATCTCACTGTAATTCATGTTACTTTGTGTTGGAGTTTTATAAGTCGTTTACAACATTCACGTCCACGGCCGCTCATGTTGTAAACTATACTTACAGTTATGCAATAGCCAGGGGACAATGACAAATGAGCCACAAAACTTTTGGCTGTGCATGTCAACACTACTGAGATCAGCAAATACTGACTAAATGATTATTTACAGTAAAATCAAAATGATCCAGTGTCACCTAATGCACAAGGAAGCCCATGTGAGCGCTCACTGAGCGTCTAGTTTCATTTTCTTTGTACATATAAGCTTAAATATCTAATCAAATTGTAAGGTTGGAAGACATTTTTGGATATTTCGTTGATTCAAAATCAATCCTTTTTCCATTAGCTAGTTTTGTTCAAATACCTTTGTTTTCAAAGAGTTGTTCAGAAGTGAGGAATGACTTTTNTTAAAGCGTTGTTATTTTTGGTATAAACAACTGTCGTAGTACATCCTTTGTCGCATTTTCGGCAATAAGCCACCTGAAGCATGCTCGACGATACAACGGGTTGAGACGTTATGTAACAGGTCGGTTACACATTTACTAGCTTTGACCTTACAATGAGAGCTAGAAGATGACTGGGATTTTTCGATTTTTTTATGTCGAAACGACTCAAAACAAAATTCCATCGTGAAAAAAGTTCGACTAAATTCCCATCTGAAAAACACGTGTGTATTTAATGTGAAAAATGTTTCATATGAGCATTCAATTCTTAAAGGTTTAATTCTATAATCATTTTGTTTAGTTATGTAAATAAATTCAATACGACTTGTACTGTTTATCTGAGTGAAAGGCGAGCTGCGGGTTTTCCCTTTCCTTTATTTACATTTTCAAATATGACCGCTTAACAAAAATGCACGGGCTCACTGGCTTACAACCTTGGCGAATTCATAGGCAGGCCTGGTCGCAAATCAATCACCCAGAAGTCTTTGCTTTGAGCGATAGAATTCGTATTTGCATTATTTGTATTTGTCTTGATTGTTTAGGTTAGAATTTTTACAATAAATTCGTATGAAAAAGCACAACCAATGTCGTGCCTCACTCTGTTCTCGACCGAATCAATCTCTAGCCCAGAGTCTTCACGGCTAATGTCAGCGGTATGCTGACGCCGGAAAGACTCTGGGGATCGACTGCATTTGCGACGCTTTTCCGTCGAAAATAATTAAAGCATTAAAATGACAAAAAGAAAAAGGTTTCGCACACAAGTTAGTTTAGGGGAACAGTATTTACACCTTTTTAAAAACAGAAATGTGTGAAAACATTTGTGGCTATGCGATAAAAGCTGATAAAAGTATGATTTTCTCGACAAATGAGGCGAGCGTGCGCTGGCGACTTAAAAAACCGACTTGAAAACAATAAAATGCGCGCTCGCGTCATTTTCAACGAATCACAAATCGAGAAATAACGCATTCCCGCAGAGTCTCTCACACATTGACTTCCGCTGGATGGCAAAATTGCGGGCTCTGGGTACGAGATTATTTACATAACTTACGAACCGCTGACGTTAGGGGTCAAGATTCTGGGCTCAAGATTTGAGTATAAGCCAACACTGTGTAGAATCGTTTTTAGATAAGTCAAAAGAAGTTGGAATAATACATCGCTTTTTATAAGCTGTTATCAGGGAGGTTTGAAAATTGGTTTGCATCAAAAAGTATCGATAGAAAACTGTCAACTAATTGTACGAAGTCCGAGCGGCTTCTTGACGCTACCTCGTGGTCGTGGGCCATGTCTTCAAGTGGGAGAAAACGTCTCAACGCTAACTGTTTCCTCCCAGACAGGGTCAAGAAAAGGCTGGAAAGTAAACAGTTGTATCAAAAAGAAGTGGATGAAGTAGTTTGTCAACTCCAAAATCTACGGGTAGTGTAACGGTATTTACAGTATCGGGATACCTGTGTAGTCGGAGAGTTCACCATTGCTTGTATGTGTTAGTCCGATTGTGATATTAAAGGACAAGTTAGCACAACAACACAGTGTCTATTAACGACAGTCTAACGTAACATGGTGTCAGAAGTTCTTAACTGGTGGTCTCCAAGATTTACTGGTTTGTAAAAGCGAAATTTCAAGTCTAAACGAGCCGAAGTGTGTTCTTCCTACGAATCGCACGTGGCCGGTCGTCACAGACATTCGCATCAAACTCGGACTCTCGTTGAAACTGGCACAAATAAGCGGCCGAAAACAAGTAAGATTGAGTTTATCTACATTAATTCTAAATATAAGCTATACTGACTTGCTTATATGACTGAAAACGAAAGTCAAGCGAGTACCAGTGATACCAATCCTTCTACCAGTCAACAACCATATACAAATATGTCTATGCCTACGAACATTCCTTTGCCGTCCAAACTAGAGGTGGCTGGGAATCTAGCAAAAAATTGGAAAATATTTATTCGCGCTTGGCGAAACTATGAAATTGCGGCTAGATTGAAAGATCCAATAAAGCCTGATGAAAATAAAATTCTCCGAACTGCCACATTTTTGACGTGTCTAGACTCAGACGCATTGGATATCTATGATGGTTTTAAGTTTGAAAGTGACGGTGATAAAGATGACATTGACAAGGTTATTACTAAATTCGAAGAATATTGTATTGGTCAAAGAAATGAGACATTTGAACGTTATAATTTCAATATGAGAGCTCAACAAGACGGTGAAACAGTGGATGCTTATGTCACATCATTGAAAACACTGGCCAAGACTTGCAATTTTGGACAGTTGCAGGATGACTTATTACGAGACAGGATTGTCATTGGAATCCGAGATAATAATATAAGGAAAAAGCTTCTCAATATGCCTAAGCTTACGCTGAAGGAATGCATTGATATATGTCGCACACATGANAGCAACTCTTGACGAGAAGGAATCAATTGATATGTTATCCCAGAAGTCTCATGCAAATAAAGTCTTTGTGACACTCACAGTAAACAGCATTGAAGAACATTTCCAACTGGATAGTGGAGCAACCGTGAATGTCATGTCTGACGCTACACTCAACAGACTATGTGGAAAAACTGATCAACTGGATAGCTGTAATACAACCCTTGTAATGTACAACAAGTCTGAAGTGAAACCCCTGGGGAAGAAAAAGCTGTGTGTTCTCAATCCGAAGAACAACAACAAGTATACAGTCGAGTTTGTGATCGTGAAAGGACGGTGCAAATCTATTCTAGGCTTGAAAACTTGCGAAGTGCTAGAATTATTGACGGTGAATCGCCACAATATATCTCTTGTTACTGCAGAAAATGCAAACGTACAAGGTCTGTCAGCACAAGATGTTATCAACAACTACTCAGATGTTTTTAAAGGTGAAGGAAAACTCCAAGGCCTGTTACATCTAGAACTTGATGAATCAGTACAGCCTGTACAACTGCCACCTAGACGTGTAGCCCTATCAGAGAAAGAAAAGCTACAAGCAGAGTTACAACGACTATCTAACCTCGAAATCATAACCAAAGTAGAAGAACCTACAGACTGGATAAGTTCACTCGTCGTAACAACCAAACGCAATGGAAAAGTTCGCCTATGTATTGACCCCAAACCACTAAACAATGCCTTGAAGCGAAATCATTACCCATTACCCACCATTGAGGATGTCCTACCTTTGTTATCTGGAGCACGTGTATTTACAGTCTTAGACGCCAAAAACGGTTTCTGGCATGTGCAGTTAGATGACCATAGCAGTTATCTTACCACTTTTAGTACACCTTGGGGCAGATACCGTTGGCGAAGAATGCCCTTTGGAATCACATCTGCGCCGGAAGAGTTCCAGAGAAGAATGGACATAGCACTTGAGGGACTTGAAGGTGCTAAAGCGATAGCAGATGACATCCTAGTCTTTGGCACTGGTTCCACTGATGAAGCAGCAGAAAAGAGTCATGATGAAAGACTTAAAGCTGTACTTGAAAGATGTCGCCAGAAAGGTGTTAAGCTAAACAGAGAGAAGATGCAATTTAAGCAACGACAAGTGTCATACATGGGTCATGTGATTACATCAGAGGGCCTACAAGCCGATCCTACAAAGATTGATGCTATAGCAGAAATGCCTACACCTACAGATAAAGGAGGTGTGCAGAGACTGCTCGGGATGACCAACTATGTCCAGCGRTTRGCACCAGGATTAGCTGATGCTACTAAACCACTTAGAGACCTGTTAAWGAAAGAAAGTGCCTTCGTATGGGACCAAGCCCATGACAAAGCCCTACAAGATGTCAAATCAATWCTGACAAACGCTCCAGTTCTTAAGTATTTCAGTCAAGACAAGAAGTCAGTTTTACAATGCGATGCATCTAAAGATGGACTAGGTGCCMYTCTCATGCAAGACGGACACCCGATTGCTTACGCATCGAGAGCACTTACACCCACAGAGACTAATTATGCACAAATCGAAAAAGAGTTGTTATCAGTCGTCTTTGGAGTGGAGAAATTCTCAGAGTATGTATACGGTCGACATGTTGTGATTGAGACCGATCATAAGCCACTGGAGTCTATTGTCAAGAAAAGCCTTCTCAGTGCCCCGAAAAGATTACAGCGCATGTTACTGCGTCTACAAAGATACGACTTAGAAGTTGTTTACAAGAGAGGTGTAGAGATGTATATGGCAGACACATTAAGCCGAGCCTACCTGAAAGGAACTAAGACAACAAGTGATCATAATGCAGATGTCAGGWTCGTGGATKGATCGAGAACGGAAGAGGARGCAGAGAAAATAGATCTGATCAGTTTTTTACCTCTTCGGGATACCACGATTCAAGAAATCCAGAGACATACAGAAACAGACCCAGACCTACAAGCCTTAGCAACAATTATCAAAGATGGCTGGCCTGATACTAAAGGTATGATAAAYCCACAACTACAATGCTACTACTCTTTCAGAGAAGAGTTAACTCTTTACAATGGCGTAGTATTCAAAGGTGAACGTATCGTGATACCGGCAGCACTACGCAACACAATGATCTCCAAACTTCACGCTAGTCACCTTGGAATTCAAGGATCACTAAGAAGAGCARGTGAAGCTTTCTACTGGCCTAATATGAATGAGCAMATCACTGAGTTTATGTCCAAATGTGATGTATGTAACAGTTACAAGACACAGCAYAGAAAGGAACCAATGGTAAGCCACAACAGACCCACTAGAGCATGGGAAAGTATTGCTTCCGACCTCTTTGTATTCCATGGTAAGGATTACCTAGTAACAACTGATAGATATTCCAACTTCTTTGAAGTGGATAGACTGTATTCAAAGACAAGCACAGAAGTGATAACCAAACTGAAAGCACATATCGCAAGATATGGTATTCCCAACGAGCTCATGACAGACAACGGTCCAAACTTCACGAGCAGAGAATTCAAACAATTTACTGATATCTACAACATCGAGCATGTCACAAGCTCACCAACATATGCCCAATCCAATGGCAAAGCTGAGAATAGTGTGAAAACAGCCAAGAATATCATGCAGAAAGCACTAGATGCCCAGGCTGATCCATACTTGGCATTGCTAGATTTCAGGAATACACCGACAGAAGGTTATTCAACCTCACCAGCACAGAGAATGTTAAACCGAKGAACACGAACACTGTTGCCAATCTCAAACAAGTTGCTGCAACCAGAGATACCCACAGGAGTACAACAGTCACTGAAAGTCAATCAAGCCAAACAGGCATTCTACTATGACAAAACTGCGAAAGAACTGAAACCTCTTAAAGAAGGTGATGTTGTAAGAGTAAAACCCAAAGAGTCAGATAAGAAATTTGTCAAAGCAAAGGTTGAGAAACAAGTGGATATCAGATCGTATCAGATCAAGACGGAGGACGGACGAGTATTCCGACGTAATAGAAAGGATCTCCACAAGACCCCAGAGAACTACAACCACAGTATTCTACCAGATTTGCCTCGAAATCAGCAGCCTCAACCAAAAGTTATACCTACGAAAGCAGTCCCAGCATCTGCTGACAGAAACAAGCAACAAGCCCCAGTGATTACTCCTACAGCCACTGAGGAATCCATCAAGACGAGAAGTGGTCGAGTTGTTCGCAAGCCTACATACCTAAGTGACTTTGTTACACAATGACTTTTTGATAGTAACCTTTGTGTATTGTTATTGTTGTTTATAGTTTTCATATTTGTAAAAAAAAGGGGGATGTAACGGTATTTACAGTATCGGGATACCTGTGTAGTAGGGAGAGTTCACCATTGTTTGTATGTGTTAGTCCGATTGTGATATTAAAGGACAAGTTAGCACAACAACACAGAGTCTATTANGAGAACTACAACCACAGTATTCTACCAGATTTGCCTCGAAATCAGCAGCCTCAACCAAAAGTTATACCTACGAAAGCAGTCCCAGCATCTGCTGACAGAAACAAGCAACAAGCCCCAGTGATTACTCCTACAGCCACTGAGGAATCCATCAAGACGAGAAGTGGTCGAGTTGTTCGCAAGCCTACATACCTAAGTGACTTTGTTACACAATGACTTTTTGATAGTAACCTTTGTGTATTGTTATTGTTGTTTATAGTTTTCATATTTGTAAAAAAAGGGGGATGTAACGGTATTTACAGTATCGGGATACCTGTGTAGTTGGAGAGTTCACCATTGTTTGTATGTGTTAGTCCGATTGTGATATTAAAGGACAAGTTAGCACAACAACACAGTGTCTATTAACGACAGTCTAACGTAACACTATAGGCTATTCATCTTATATTTAATTCCAAGACAAAATAATAAACATGGGGGAAGTAGCAATAAATGTACAATTGTATTGTATAGATCTTTAAATTTTTGATCTTTTTTTTCTTTTTTTTAATTTAAGAAAATATTTATTTATTTGTATGTATTTATATTTTTAAAGATGTATATCAGTTTTCTTTATATAATTTTTAAATTGTACATCAAAGTGAAGTTTGAATAAAATCTATATGGTTTGTTTAATGAGGAGCTACTCAGAAAACTCATAGCCAGGTTTTTTTGTTTGTTGATCGGCGAAAATAACCGCATACTACACCTGTACCTGAATGACGGATTGATTTAAGGGAAAATAACTTCACGTGGAAGTCATTGTAGAACCCATTTTCGTGTTTTCAAATATAATTGAATAGGTTGGAAAAAAGAAAAAAATGCATTCACAAGTAGTATGTGATGCTTAGCTCGACAAAGATGTCAACGAACTATTAATTAAAGTTTTCAATTTTCCATCAGGAATTCAAACCAGCTATAATTTGTATTAAGATGGCAGTCTTTAATAATTCAATTTATTGAGTTTGAATTTTTGGAACATGAGTAACTATAGTAAATGAACAACAAAGTGAAGACGGAAGTAGAAAATCGTTACTGAATATCAATATATACTGTATCAAATTGCACTTTCACTACAACCATATAAAATGTCCTTCTAATTTGGCCGAAATACATAGTTGTTAGCGCCATAGCGCCAACAGTACACTAGTATTCTGTCTGTCTGTTTTTGTCTTTGTTTCGTTAGAGGTTGCATTGAGATAAAGTCATATTTACCGACGATTTATTGATTTCTTTCAATTAAACTGTTGGTCATCCCATTTTCCATTCTTCCTGAACTTTCCTGGCAGCATTTTTGTTCAAATAAGTTTCTTTAGTAAGTCATAATATAGATTACAGTATGAATTTGATTGTCTTTAGCCATGTCTGGTTTTCAGCTGATCATGAAGTTATCTATGCTGGTGGTCATTGGGAAAGTTTTTTTGTTTGTTTGTAATGCCAACATGGCCACCAATCTTTTGTTGACCAAAAGTGAATTATTGAAAACAATACGACCAAATTGAAAATGACGCAGTGTATTATCACTTCCTAATAAATGTACGTGGACTAGTAACTAGGCAACGCCAGGTCCTGAAATGACTAAAGTGAGAGTAAAAATGAGCTATAAAGATCAAGGCCCTTTTACACTTGCGATTTTTAATTATCTATGTTTCCTGTATGATTGCAAAACACCAAAACTACAATTAACCATTTTTTATGATCACTGTATGATTTAAAAATATCAACCGCCAAAATAGAGGATATTACATGGGCGCATGGAAATATTGCACTCATTGGTGCGTCTTCAAAGTCGCAAGCGGTTCAACACTGTCATCATGAGGTCACAGGTTTTCAGATGCTGAGAAGAAACTCTTATTTGAAGAATCACAGTCATTTTCATAACGGTTTGCTTCATTTTCACTCTCCATTTCATTGTAACTTTCTTATAAAAACATCGAATCAAGAAGTCACGTGTTAAGTCAGTGACGTCACTAACTTTCTCCTCGGGAGATACCGCAGTCTTTAGTATTTGGGGCTCAGATATCAAACCGATTAATGGCGGACGGGATNCTTAGAAGACCTAGTGCGCTATTACGTTWGTACGCTGTAACGATAGAACGCTAATCACTAGTACGCTAATAGGATAGTACGACAGAACTAGTGCGTTAGTACGATAGAAAGCAGAGCGCTAATACGCTTGAACTGGAATACTTCTCGTTTCATGTRCACTCATATTAGCAGCCCTCAACTGCCTACATTATACCTACGAATGCATGTGTGGCGAAATAATTATCTAGTATAATTACTGATATTATTAAAATAAATCCAATTGTTTTCTTTACTCCAACGAAGGATTAATATCCGAAACGTCAGTAAGTTATTTCCCATACTTTTTTACGGTGTTAAACTTATCTTTTTTACACAACTGTTTCTTTACACCGACGCAGCTCACACTAGTTTACCGCTAGTTCCCACCACTGTTTTCTTTCTAGCTTACTTGTTTATCATAGGAGCAATGCCAATAATGACTAAAGTTTAAACATTTAAACGAACTTCGAACTAGAGTTTTTTTAAGTCGTGAATTTATTTATCTGGATACAATAACTTAATAAATTGTCAAAATAGCCTGAGTAGCGGCTAAAAATCAACAAAAAACAATGAAAAYATGCAAAATTGTGCCMAATTATAMATTCAAAACCATGTGAGCATGCGGTTGTCTTTTCAGTATATGAAACATAAAGTCCCACACGTATCAGAGCTAATTAATCGCAAGTTMAAAAACGAATAGAGGCAAAAAAGTAAAGTAAAGGATAATTATGAACTGCGGTAGACGTAAGAACGATAGACGCCACACCATGAGAAAAACAAGCTAACGGGAAGGATAAAACAAGCACCATATGTAGAGTTTATGCCACACTTGCTCTGCAATATAGATACTTAATAAATAATGACAAGAGATAATATGAACAATCAATATTCCCCTTTACAGTTCCAAAGGCAATCTTGAAAGGTATCCGAACTTTTGCATCAAAGCGAGACAGAAGTTGASCTTGCAAYGATAKATACCTGTGAATAATTGTCTAAGGTGTGAACAAAAGGTATCACTGCAGGCTATAGTTTAGAAGTGAGTAATGTTAAACTGGGTCTACCATGACACCAGGATCAATCCATTTCTATTTAATATACATGTATATTTCTTACACAAAATCACCACTCCACAACACACAAAAAAACAGCACCTCCCTTAACAATAGAGTCCGATTACCCAAATACTTCTAAACTATCGACGTATAGGAATGCAATGATAGATACCTGTGAATAATTGTCTAAGGTGTGAACAAAAGGTATCACTGCAGGCTCAACTMCTGTCTCGCTTTGATGCAAACATTTCAAGTGACACTTGGAACTGTAAAATGGAGTATTGGTCATGTGACTTATCATTTTATGTAAGACTTTAAACTCCAAGTACTAATCTTTTACGCAATAAAACACCAGGAACTCAGGAAAACTAGTTTCGTTTTATATAAAACCTCTTCAATTCCTAAAGTTTGTACAATCCGACATAAAGAAATATCAAATAGACTTATCATTCAACATGTTTAATGCTTTTAATCGCTAACTCACCATTTATGGTCAAAAATATAGCTGACCTTGCTTCCTTGATACCAATGCTACAACGAGTGTGTGTCATCAATCGGCCATCGCCCAGTCCCAGCGTTCTACAGGTCATGCGAGACGTTAATTAGTAGATTACAGCCTATTTAGGAGTTAACCATGTATTGATAAAAATAGAATCTTGTAAAAAGGAAAAAAATCATTGGTATGTTATTCTATATTTGTCCTGTAGAGTATCAGAGCAGTTGCTCTTTATAAA